AGAGAAAAATAAGAAAGAGTTGCGTGAAATACCCCATTAGTGTTACACAAACAAGCCACATGACTATCTCGGTACCATAGTAAAACATTTTACAGTGGTATCCACTCATTAAGCTCCACAAACCCATATATAGTAAGTAGTATATCACTGAAAGATTGAACCAACGAACACTAGCTATATTATGCTGTCACTTAAGATGGCTGGGAAAGAAAGAAATGATAAATTAGCTCTCTCTACCGTACTTCATGAAATAGCCGAGATAACTTTTTCACACAGGTACTGTACTGAGCGGAGCATCGCTGAAAGACTTTGACCTGTTCGATCTAATAGCTCATTTCGATCGGCCAAAGCAAAGGCATCCTCATCCTCTGAGAACACATTTTCAAAATGTATGCCATGAATACTTGCTTCGGCTGTTGCAACTCGATCTAGACTTCCTGTTAATAGGGTACAAACAGTTCCAGAGCGTAATGTCTGGCGATCGCACTAACCTAGTGCATTTCCCAATGCATGGTATTTGTACATTTCATGAACAAGTCTTATCACTTGCTTCAATTCAGGCATTGTATCTGGGGCGATGATTTTAACGTCGAAAGGACGCAACGCTCGTTGTCCTTTCAGAACTTGTTAGTATTCGTGGTTATATATTGTTGCCTTGCATAATAAAGAATTGGTTGTAGACATACCGTCAGGAAAGGTACATTGCAAAACCTCGAAGAAGATATTATGAATTGCCGCACCTCTTTTCTTCGATAAAGGATACTTGGCCAATAAGTGATGTGAAGTATATAGCAAGAGGCAATCTCCAGTGTGGTTCAAGATTTTGTACAATCTCTTTGACGGCCTTTAAACGGTCCTCCAAATCGGCTGAAGATGGGGTCTGTAGATCAGCTGGTTGCCAGATACTCTCACGAAGACGGAGGACCTCTTGTGGCCAGATCGGTCTTCCTTTATTAAATGGAAGATCCTGGAATTCACGAAAATGAGGTTGCAGGCGACGTAATCGATCATGTTCAAGAAGGGACTGGGCGCAGATTACCTCGCATTTGCCCTCAATCTTCAGCGATCCCTGAGAAAGATATTCACCAAAGTAATTTTGAGTTTTGTTGCGAAAGTATCGTAAGCTCTCTAGGTTTTTTTCTGTATGGGTGATCGTCGGATTCCCAAAAAGTATCAATCAGATCCAAATCGCAAAGAAATGTGCCTTTAGGAAACTGTGTCGTATCTATCGCATACAACTTGATCTGCTGTAAATCTGATCCATCCCTGGGGTTCAAGTGCCGGTAGTAGATGTACTGAATTGCGAAGAGCAAGGAGCTAGTCCATGAAACGAAATTGTCCCAAGTGCCATGCTTTGGCCACCATCGGAGATGCAAGTTGAGTGTTCGAGCTATGGTGATCCGTTTCTCACTATTCAAATTGAAAAACACGTCTTCCATAGAAGAGCCCTGATTCTGAGATGCCGACTCTGAATGCACCCACGTCTCATTTGTTGTTCCGACGGAATTTGGAGAGACGACCCGAAACAAGTAGTGAGGAACATTATCTAAAGCAGTCGGCACCAACCCACTACCTACTTGGGGTCTAAAAAGTAATTGTTCCGATTGTTCAGATCGCCCAGTCAAGTGAGTGTTTGCAAGAGTATCTGTCAGGGTTTCCATTTGAATCTGGCGATGCTTTATTGCCGTTGGCGGTCAATATAGAGCAGGGGGCAAAAGTAGTCGAAAATGATAGTATTGTTCTTCATGAATAGAGAAGAAAGACAAAAGAGAAGACGAGAAGGAGAGAAAGAAAGCCAGGTTTTGGGCGGGGTTGATGTCAGATGACTTGATCCACATTTATCCAACCAGCAGTCCGCACAGAAGATTACACCATCTTACAATGACTCATCGAACGCTGTCATCCAATATCGTTGAAATAGTATGCAGACAAAAGAAAACTGTTCACAGAAGGGAGGGAGGGTATGTAACGGCCTACAAACAAACAATAAGTGCCTGGAAATGTGTCTATCTTCGAATTTCCACTCTAGGGCGCTTCCTTCGGTAAGTATGATCTGCGCAATGCCGGAACCTGTATTTGCGGCAATTTTGGTAATCTACTAGAGATACATCGAAGACAACAGGGTGGGACCGATCCTGACCCAATCAGGTTTAGTGTCATAAAGTGGGGTGCTGGGAAAGGAAGTGTGTGTGACTTGAGGGGTAATCTGTTTTCGAATTCCACTGTAAATGGTAATCATTTACTTTCGTATGTCAACAGAATGTAATTATGCAGTCACGATATGATATTTTATGAGATAGAAAAAAATTGAAACTAAATGAATGTACCACCAAAACCATGAAACCATGAGTTACTACCGTATCAGTATAGGATACCATTGGGGTAACCTCGGTGCTGTCCTGCCAAGCCATCAACTTCTGGGAGATGCCTGAGAGGTATGTGATTGCTCAATCTCTATTGGTACTACCGAAGTATGTGTAAAAAGTGCCAACAAAAGTATCAACGGAGAGACAGCTCAACAGAGAAGCATGAGTAATGACTTTCAAAAAGGCCTGGTGGTGAGACGAGATCTGATCGAAATTTGGTAAAATTTCCGACTGAGCAGTTGCTAGGATAAATGCAAACCCTCGTAACTCATCGTTCACAAGATCTTTGGCGAGGAACTGATGATCCTCGGTACTTTTGCTTTCCAAGATTTTGAGAGCCCCATTCCAGAAATCGGCCAGAGTATCATTTCCCCTTTGAATATGACCGGTTCGCACGGGACCCTCACGAAGAAGTCTTTTCCAATCGAAGTATCGATTTCGAGCCTCTGGGTTGGCAGGCGTTCGTTGGTTAACGGCCGATTTTGACTGGAACTCGGCGACCCCGGCCATTTGATGAGAGTATTTGCATTTGCTACCATAACGACATCTTCCGCGTTGAAAATGCTCGCAAGGTGATGATGCTTGACCGTAATTTCTTTTGTTGGAGGATCCCCCTCGATTGACCATGTAGCCCCTGGATCGCTTATCATTTCCACGATGCATTGTGGGAGTTGCCGAAGAACGACAAAAATGGACCGTCCAGCTGTAAGTGTCTTCAGAACAACAACATTTTATGCCCCAAAGCTGAAAGACGTCGCTGGATTTTGATTAAAGCTGGATGTGAGGCTGGCGGCAATGTGGCAGAATGGAAAGACAGGCTGTAGAAGAAAAATTCAGGTTAAAGGTGTATTTATCTAGAAGCGGGATCGGTACTTACCCTCAATAGAAAGCATTTCTCAAGACAGCCTTGTGGAATTCGTTCTGACCCACTAAACCCACGCAATCATATCCTGGACAGTCCCAAAAATGACAGGTCACTAACACAAAGCTGTAACCAATGAATATAGGCATATAAGTATTCCGTCCGTCGGCCTGCTTGTCATCCTTCCATTCTGTTGGAGCACCTGTTTTGATGGTATTGTTCTGTCATTCTGATACGCACTACTCATGCATTAGCGTTAGACCTGTATCTTTATTATTGGATTGTGACCCACACAGCTCCCCAACAGTACAACTGCCTTACGCATTCTACAAAACATTCAACGCCAATTAAATGGACAAGGGTTCCGAGCCGCAGTGCATATTAGACTGCAGTCGGGCGCAGCACCTGCAGCTACCGACCAGCATCAAATGCCAGCGCACAACGAACAACACTTACATCCGTGGCGTCAGTCTAGACAATCAAAATACGACTAAAATACTATCAAAAAATCAAGTTTTACTCTGCATTTGTTGGAAATACTGTATCACGAACTATCCTTGATACGGTAACATTGAAGTAACTCAGAAGTAAGGGTTTAACGTCAATACATTGATTTACTCGAGAAGTCTTGAATTATACATATCGTTGCTAAGATCGAAGATAATCCACGATGTTGCGCTTGGATGGTTTTATTTTTTTTGAATACTAGAACAAGACGTAATGGAAAGACTTTGTTGAGTTGGGAATTCACAGATGTCAACTATTATACAAGAGAAATATTCAGCCAAAACTAAGATCATGGATTATTTATTTGCTTTTTTTATTATTGAAAGAGCTACCAGGAGACCAGTGCCAAAGTAGAAATATGTAGCTATTTCAAAAACGTTCGGACGAAATCTAGAGATTGCGACCCAAATCTACACTTGAACCGGCTGTCTCCAAGTGTATTTGGGGGGTGGGGGCGGGGGGTTTACTTATAGCACGGGGTTTGGTCATCTCGTAGAGGAAAATCCAAGATTACTGCGAGTTGAGATAGTTGAAGTCGGTTATAGAGCTAGGATTCACTGCTTTTCAGTAATAGGGAACTAACTCTATGAGAAAGAACTTTCAGTTTTGCGATCTCGCCCAATAACCCGAAATGATGCGAAGGTGATCCCTGAGAGCAGGTTGGAATATATCTTAATCTCTTGCCATTGACCTGGGGTTACGACTTAGGAAATGCGCTGACCTGTGCTTGAGGCGGTTAAGGGTCTCTCAATTGGACAATTCTTCCAGCGTGGTCATATGTCAAGAACGCTGCACGTTTGTCGTCTCATAAATTTTAAAATGCCCTGGCAAATTCAATCATTCTTCCCAAATTTCCCGTCAGTCGATCCTACTTCCACTAGAAGCTGCACTGAGCTCTCTTTCATGGTGAATCAATGGATTGTTTTGAATGGCTATCCTCATAGCCTCACGTTATCCAACGGAAACTGGGCTAAAACCAACTATTTAAATTGATCTACTTTGGAGCAATCATTAGCAAAATGTAAGCACTTTGAGATATTGATCAGATATATGACGTCAAATTTCAATGCCGTTCAATGTCAAACAATCTATCTATACTACATCGTAAGCTTGTGGCCTAGATTTCCTGCTTTTCTTCTTAGCCGATCCTTTCGCATACTTAGAAGTTGACTCTTCGGGAAGTTCCAAGGAATCAACCGTGGGCTCGGGCTCGGGCCCTGGGCAGTCCAGAGCATCGGGCACGGCGGCTGCCGCATTACCAGAACTCAAAGACTCCGAGTATTCATTTTGGTCGTCATGTTCGGGGATCGCAGTGTTTTCAGCTTCCTCAAAAGGGCTCCGAGAGCCACTTGAAAATTGGGTAGCACGTGGATTGTTTGACTCGCTGCTTTCGTTTGGGAATTCTTGATTGAGTTAGTTTCAATACGAGATGGTGTAGCGAGCTTCTTACCTATCCCTCTGATACCAACAAATCGCCGGCAAGTGTCGGAACCTTTGGCGAGAACATGTAGTTTCTTATTCAGCTGTTCGCGAAGACTTCTGCTTTCCTCGCTCTCGCCTGCAATTTGCGTCACCAGCTCGTCAGACATATCGAAAGCAGTCACAGGGTTGAAAATGCCAGGCAGAGTGCAAAGAAGCTTCATTTCAACCACTTCTGTGGCAATGTCGTCCACGAAGCGTTTCAAAGCAACCTGCGAACAAAAAGTCATCTGTCAGCCTTGGAACAAGACTAGAGTGTAGCCTCGACTACCTTGTAATACGCTAGCATGCAATCTAGAGCTTCCTCTGACGCATACTTTGTCATGTTCGGTTCGGTACTCCTAACGAGGGAATCAAAGAGCGCACGAAGGTCAACAGAATCCCATGTCCCGTATGCACTTGGTAAATGGTCAACCTTGAAGTGACGCTTGAGCGCCTCGCGCAACTGCTCTTTTTGACGGCCATTACGTGTGTGCTGAAGTGTCTCGGTAAAATAATGGTTGTATGTGATAGGATGCCGCTGCTGATGGGGAGCAAGCAGTTCTGCAGTTCCTTGCTCCAACGTTTCCCGTAATTCAATTAGGGCTGGAAGGATGACTTTGTCAAACAAGGCGGTGGAAGTAGCCTTATCTGCGACATATGTGACTACTTGCTGGAGGAACTCTTTCGCGGCAACCCAAGCGGCGATAACATGGTTGCGGGATATGCCCTCCCACGGTCGGCTGTGGTCCTGGAACAGATCTCTGGTGATCATCGGATCATAAGTGCCCGGTAATTCACGACCGCGTGTCCTCTCCAATAGTGTACCAATGTCATCAAGATAGTCATCCCGTGATATTTGAATTTGATGCTCGCCGATAGCATCGTTTTCCTCTGTGATGTCTAGCTGACGATAATGACCGTATCGTGCGAGATTTGCTGCAAACTCCGCATTCAGATTCTGGATCACCGCGCGAATTCGTCTTTTATACCCAACGTCGGTTTGGGCAGGTTCGAAAAAAGGTTCATTGTATGTTCCGTCCACCGCAGTCTTGACTAGGGATTGAAACGATTGGCTGATGTGAAAGAGATATGATCTTTGTGCATCCAGTGTGGCTCGAGGTTGACCGAGCTTACTTAACTGAGCTCGACACGCATCGCTCTTGGCGTTGATCTCCTCGATGAGGCTAGGCAATTCGGCTGCAATTTGCCCGAGAAGCAGCTTGCTCAGTCGAGTGCGCAAAGTGTTCACACCCACAAGAGACCGAGGCATGTCTTCCCAGATCCCTCGAGAAAAGAATTTCCATTCTTGAACATCTCGCTCGGACAGATCCCAGTGACCCCTTTCAGAATCCATATTCTTCAACACATGCCACCCCAGGCGGAATTCCACATCTTTGTTCTTAGCGAGTGATATGAACGATGCCTCACTCTCGGATCCGGCTACCAGAATATCAGGCTTGGTGATCACCCCCAAGGTCCGGTTTCCTGTAGGGTCTGCGTCTCGCGCTAGGCGTAAGATGATCTGGTTGGCGAAGTCGTTCTTTGCGGATACCACCGCCAGAATGATACTCCGTGGCTGGCTCATGTACGACTGAACCACACTTTGCACCAATTGTACATCGGCAGCCGATTGCTGTCGTGTCTCAGAGTGGATAAGACCCGGAAGATCAACGATTGTTAGATGTGGACGATCGGGACCCGATATCTCAACCCGAAGCAAATCATTGGAGAAAGCTTTCCCGTGCGTAGAGATTCCCATTGCCGCCTTGGCGTTCTCGATCAGAATCGCGAGACCATCAAATCCACCGAGTTGTTCACAAAAACTACCCAGCGACTGTTGCTCTGCTTCACTTCGAGAGTGATGGGGTACTATCGAGACTCGAACCCCAACCTGAGAATGCTTCCGAAGCACAAGCTCCGTGGGAAATCTTGTACAGAGATTGCTTTTCACTGGAAACGAAACACCGGAAATAGCTTCGAGAACAGAGCTTTTGCCGGAAGATTGATCCCCGCACACAATGATTTGTGGGAGAGAGACATAATGGCTGATTCCTTGCGATCGAAGAGTATCCACGGAATCCAAAAGATCGAGCTGCTCTTGTGTGCAAAGGGCATCAAGCGCGTCCGACTTAAAATTTGTCAAAGTCATAGTCAAAAATGATTAGCGATAGACCACTAGAGAGCCACAAGTTCAGAGCGATATAATTGTAGCGGAAACAGATATATCTTTGGGAGTTTATATTATTTGGGTCTGAAAAGAACGAGAGCTGCAAGCAAGGAAGCAAGCAAGGAGCAATGTAGTTTTATGCATACGCCTGGTTTTATGTCTTGCTTCTGTCGTAATGCTGAAAGCTACTTTAGCAATATCCATGCGGGAGGCCATCCATGCGGGAGGCCGTCCATGCGGGAGGCCGTCCATGCGGGAGGCCGTCCATGCGGGAGGCCGTCCATGCGGGAGGCCGTCCATGCGGGAGGCCGTCCATGCGGGAGGCCGTCCATGCGGGAGGCCGTCCATGCGGGAGGCCGTCCATGCGGGAGGCCGTCCATGCGGGAGGCCGTCCATGCATAACATTGGCAATACCTTGCAAAGGCGGGAAGCAAAGAGTACGCTTTACGTCGAAACCTTCTATCTTTAGTGGCCATTTCATGATCACTGACCAACCACTATTGCTTGTCAAGTACCAACCCCAACGGATGCGCACTTCTTTCATTGATCTACAGAAGTTATTCAAATTTGCTAAACTGGCCGGGTCGTTTTGTTAGGCTACGCTCGGCTTCCACGGCAGTCAAAGGTGTCTAATCAAGGTTTTCACTCTTGAGAATTTCTTCGTATCCGATACCCATATGGTGTATGTATGTGTTTTTCCTGCTTTGGACAAGGTAATTAGAGGACATAACTGAATAAACGCAATGTGCAAGATGCAGGATCTTTCTGTTAAGACGCGATATATCTAGTCATTCATAGCAGAGAGCAATAGTCGATTCATAGCCATACAGTATTACCAGGCTTGTGCTATCGAGGTGTGCATCATCCTGCTGCCTTTGCAGGGGCTCAGGCTACTCTTCATTCATTCAAAGTTGCACGACCGTAGACAGTTCTCAGATTCGATGTCACCCGGAGCTCTTTCTTCTTCAACCTAGCGCCCACTGTACTTTTGACTGTTACCATCCGGTTTTTTGGGGCTAAACTCGTTTTGGGCCCATCTCTTTCAGCATCTCTAGGCTATCTGGGAAAGGTGAATCTCAAGGACTCAAGTTCGCTTGGAATCCCTTCATAGATTTGAATCTCGAATCGCCCTTCTGCTTCTCGGATATTTCAAGGTATCAAATGTGAAGCCAAATCCACTCACTTTACTTGGATAAAAATCAATAAAGTATTAATGTTTATACTCCACTACACGAGCATCTAAACATTGTGTACGGAGTAGGCAAATCCTTAAAAGGCCGGCGAGCAGTTTTCAAAAGATTGGTACTAGAACCGAAACAATATAAAGCACAAGCAAACTGCCACACGGAAATCTTCATTTCCGTCCCACCATTTGATTGGCGTACATCTGAGAAAGGTGGAGTAGGCGCACTGACAAATTCAATTCATCCACAAATCTGTCATCAGATCCAGCTCCCGCATGACGGCCTTTGACACGCAGTACTAGGTCGACAATGGGCCCAATAGAGAATGGCCAGGAGTCAATCATTCAGACGGTACTGTCTGCTCGGTTTGGTGCTGAAAACATAGCCTTCAGCCTATAAATATCTCCTTTTCTCATACTTGTGTTCAAAATTGCTATTATACTAATACTTAAATCAAATTACATTGCGCCCAAGAAAGAGAGGAACCGTCCAAAAATATGACTTCAGCATCCTTAAAAGGATCTCTAGAAATTGACCCAAATCGCGTTGGTCGCCCGAGATTTGACCCATACCAAAGACTTCTCGGTCGATTTTACGAGCAATTGTTTCTCTTGCATGCACTTGGACAGACACGCGGCAGCCACACCCCTCTGTCGTTTGACGTCGATGTCCGGCAGGCTAAAAGTCGGCGATTTTTGCAAAACCTCTGTTATATCTGCGATTTCAGAAAGGGAGGCAGCACATGCACTGCAATCGGCCTCGAAGAGCTTGATACCTATTATAACTTCTGTGTTGCTTCGAACAGAGAGACAGACAAAATCGTCGCGTTTCTCCACACCGCCTTAGATACTTTGCGGGCCATCACCCACCCGGTCGGCACGGGGCATGTCTACAGCGAGTCGCAATTCGCAACAAGATGCATCAAATTTGCTTCTGAACGTGTCGACGAAGAAAAGAGATGCCTTCGCAGATACGCCAAAGATTGTCTTTCCAAGCTGAGCGGACACATTGCAGCATCCGGTAAGCTCACTATTTCACTCTTCTCACGCATCAACCGATCTAATTCTTTAGATTTGGTTGCCTGGCTTAACACGGCCATGAATTTTGATGATAACTTCGCGCTCTGCAATTTCGCGCATGACAATCGCCATTCATCACTAGTGAAGGAGCTGGAGAGACGGGGTGTGAAGGAAGAGACAGGGTTGAATCCTACGAGCAAAAGGTCATGTTTTATCATGATGCGACATTATATCGGGAGACTTGCTCATCACATACGGGCTTCAAGTGAGCTGATTCAGGACACTGAGGAACTGAGACACGTTCTTGACAATTATGCTGTTTGTCCTATATACGCCCCACCTGCCGTACCAACGCCTATTTGTGACTCCCACGTCAACCTTCGCGGGATCTTGAATCGAATGTTCAAGAAGAATAGCGAAGACAAGGATTCTCTGAAGGAGGGCCTTTTGCACCTGCACAAGGTAGCAGGTATATTTGACACCTTTATCCGTCAGTACAATGGCTCCACGCTTGAAGTGCATGCAGAGCTTCAGGTCTTGGAGTATTTTTGGAAGCTGCGAAAAACATTCGCAGGCGAGGATCGGTTTATTGCTTGTAGTAAGCCGGCCTGTTTCTGCTGTGAACTGTACTTCAAATATCATCCAGCCCGCGTGATGGTATCTTCCTCACACCGAAAGATTTGGACAAAGTGGAGTCCACCGAATGTTGAACAATTGGATCGGAAATGCCCCACAGCCATGCAGCAGAGGAATATAGTGAATAAAATGACGGAAACCCTTCGCGAGCAAGTGTTCAGTCATGTCATTCAATGCGTGCCATCGAAACGATGGCATCCGGATTCGATAACGAACATCACGGATACCCGAGGGCCTAGCTTCGGTTCCTATTCACTCGAAATATCAGATGAGACTCCTGGGACTCTACCGAGTATAGTTTTAGGATTTCAGCGCAACAGACGCGCCATTTTCACCAACACAGAAGTTAGCGGGAACATTGACACTGCACCGGACTTTGATGGTATTTCTGACCCGGAAAACGGAGGTGTTTCTCTCTCTGGCTACACTTAGCACCATCTGCCACATGCACTGAGCCTTTCATTACGAACACCTATTGGTAACAAAGATTGAGCGGTGTTCATTTTTCTCAAAGTTGCTTAAATGATGAACAGAATTAAATTCTAACCTGCCTTCCTTCCTCAATGTTATTTTTTGTCACTTCTGCGGCGGCTGCGTTTCCTTCCCCCAGCCAGCATGACTGTAATTGCTTGTATATATACCATAATCTCCAATGATGCGTCATGGGCTCTTTTGTTACCTTAAACGTGCCGGTGTCGTCAATCTTCCGCAGACAACCAGCTTTATTGGATATCCTCCATTCATGCTTCCACTGATCGGTGACGCCACTATGGATGAACGTCCTCTCTATTTTGAGTAGCGGGGGGAAGGGTTGAGATTTGCTTGGACTGGCGGCCTGCTTCGCCATCTGGTTTGCAACGACGCAGTTGGAGTCGTGTTGAGGGCAAGTTGTCGAATTGCCTGTGCGAAGACTTGCCTCTATATGTGGGAAGGGAAATTACACATCAAGCCTATGAGGTGTCTAGTGTGGTACAAAGGATTAAAAAAAGGGATATGGAATAGCAGAGACTCGATATGAAGCAAGGCAGCAAAAGAAAGATCACAAATTGATAAAGCAATGATAAACAAAGATTCCCAGACCATACCAACTGACCATAATAGCTTAATCTAACTGACATGTCTTGCCTTAAAGTGTTTCTGAAAGTTGTCTTCTCTCGTGAACTTTTCCTGACATACAGCGCAAACGGTTGGTTCCAAGCATCCCCAGCGTTCCCTGGCCAATTTCTTGTGAGCAACCTTGATGTGCCGATCAACGCCCTTTTTTTCCGCTGATGCGTATGCGCAACGGGGACATTTGAAAGGTAGAGTATGAATCTTGGTATGCTTTCTGAGAATTTTCAGCAGATTTGCGAAGCGGAAACTGACATGAACCTACTTCAACTGGCATTTAAGAGTAAAGCCCTGCAACCTTTGACATCCCTCGTATTGGCAGTAGTACAATCCATCATGGAGTGAAGGGTTGACTGATTCATCCGAAGGCATCTCAGCTTCTCCGGATCTCCAGTTCGCAGTCCTCACTACATCATGAGTTGCAGACTCAGCACTGCTGGTACTGATCACTGCACCCGGAACACCTGCCAGATTCGTATGAAGACCGCCAGATATCTCGCCTTCCCTCATCAAGAACTCAACGCAAAGAGTGCTCTACAGAGAATCATTTGCTTCGATTACATCCTGAAGAGTAGCAGACGGGATCCCACTAGTACCTAGAATCTCAGATTCGGGGTTGAATGTTTCTTGCTGTTGGCTCTCGCTGGAAAAGTTGGAGATGTAGATATCGAACATTGTAGGAGTCGCATGGGTCGTAAGATTACTCGCAACCGCACCTTCCAGCTCGATTGGAAGCTCGGCTTCAATCGGAGCTGGCACATCACCGCCCGGCCACGACTCCATAGTCAACCTTCTCAAATGGAGATCGAGCGGGTTGGTATAAAGTGTACTTTGAGGATCTCAAGCTAGCAATAAATAGCCTCTTTCAATCGGTGGCCAGACCCCTAACCAAATAACCTATCGGGGCAAACCAGCGGTCAGAGAGTTATTCAATATCGCCTAACCACGCGTCTACTCATCATTGGTCGTCATTCACCGCCTATATCGTAGTTGGGCGCCAGTTTGGACCAGTGTACTTGAAAATTTGCAGGCCGAGATAGAGGCAGCAGCAGCTGAACATACTATGCCGTAGGGACCAGAAATAACGGTATCTTATCCGTGACCTAGCAATCGAACCAAAACGACTGCACATCGTACTGGTACAATTCTGGGTATACGAAGAAAATGATTTCTGATATAGCTATAAAAATAGTATTTTCTACTACCCTCATATCTGTTCTATCGAACATGCGGGCCTATCGCTGAGACATCTGTCGCAGCAGAGTGGATATGTCACTTACCGTCTCTTTTATTGCGATCTATGAGCTATGTTGCAGGTAAACTTTCTGGATTTCGTGAAATACATTTCATTCTTTCTGATAACGTTTTACAATATCAATTTTTTGGCCCTCGCGGTGTGTACAGGGTGCCGTCATCATATTACCGCTTAATTATCGACTCAATCGTCGGCCATCTAGAAAATTCACGTGGGCCAGTATTTAAGAGCTCTCGAAGAGCGGAGGCAATTCTTCCGCAACGCGTGAAGCCAGAAACGCAGCACGTGTGTAGTCATGGCAACGCTTCGGTGAAGTTCACCATTTTGTTCAAATTTCTATCTTGAGTTGATCACAAATCTGCTTTGCAGCTAAATGGCCAGCAACCTTTTTTGTCCGTCCAATGCCCATCCCATGGCATGCTCCAAAAAGGATGGTAACTTTAAATCGAGGAGGGTCAAGGCTTATTGTTGAAACCGTGCGTTGCGGTGCTTCTCCGCTTTCTTGTCCTTTTTCATTTAACCGCGATGTGTACATTGGTAGATCGTGGTGATCCTGATGGTTGGATTCTGAGTTGGTTTCGCTTATCGAATCCATCCAGTGTGCGTGGAATTTCTGGGTCTCAAGGGGAGACGAGGCGAAATTTTCTTTTTCGGTCTCGAGATTACCTTCCGTGTGACCGGGGTTTAATAGACTGCGCCACACGAAAAAGGCCTGTGGCTCCGCGAGGGTGCGATAAGCACACCCAAGGAGCTGAAAAACAGCCTTCTGTGATTCTGAATTTTCATCTCGGAATGAAACGAGTCCCATTGCTTGCAGTTGTCGCCTTCCTGCAAGAAAATCATACGAATTGATTATTTGATTGGCTTCCGACTTTCACTAAGTCAGTCCGAAAATTCAAAGTTTAGACTGGACGATGTAATGACTGACCAGCAAGTCACGTGATCTGCCTGACCGAGCTAGTTGTACTACGATGTTTGCGTGGAACATGACTTTTCCCACGGCCTGATCTGTACAACGTGTGAGAAACAAAAATTCAAATAATAGTGAAGGGTTCTCACCAATCTCAGCGTCGGCGTTTCGCGAACCTTGCAAGGTGGTCATGGTGTGTCTGAGGCGTACGATCAAAATAGATGCATCTTACTTCAAAAAGACTAATCACGGGGCTCTGGCGAAGGGGCCCTTCAGCTTTATATGATATACTATCTTGAAAATGTCCGTTGGAAGCCGCAGCGCCGAGTTTCCCGAATTTTATCCCTGCTCGTGCGTCAGAGAAGGCGCATTGATCCAGTGAGGTATGTATGATGGCATCAGATAGCGCTCGTATTGAACATCCGTTACGTCATAGCCTGAGTCTTTTACCCAGTCCTGCTTAATGATGCGAGGTAGGCTTCTGTCGGAGTCTCTACAACCAATCTCTTGTCACCTAACAACATTTACCTTTTCATCTGTCACGACACTCGACTGATCAGAATTTTGAGATTTGTTTTCGAACTAGTGCGAGTGACTTTCCGTCAAAATTATCCACGTGATTGAAGCCAACTAGTCATAACAAAGGTTCATCGCGATGTTTTGAGACGAAGCACGGCCGTCTCCAAGGAGTGACAAGCGGCGAAGCAGAATCGAACACGTGGGCAGAATTGAATAGCCAATTCGAACCAATTCCACTTATATAGAGCGCACATCAAAGAGGTGCCTGCAGATCATGAAGGTATGATCTCTCCCAGAGGAAGTGCGAAGACGATGCTGATTCGCTGGCACAACCATGTGACTTAACTGGAATATGTTTTTGGAACCAATCATTGCCATTATACATGGTAATATGGCAAGAGCAGAATCAGAAACCAATCATGGAACTCCTAATCACAGCTACTAGCTGGTTGGAAGATTTCTGCCTTGCCTTCTTCCAGTCTGTCTATCTTCCTGCCCTTAGGCAACTGTGGAGAAATTTGACCATTTCAGACAAATAAGATCACAGTGGCAGGTCCGTTCGAATTGCACGTCCACTGCATAGAGACGATACTTCGAAATCTAATCCTGTGACCAGTCGGTCCAAAAACAAATAGAGTGGAGTATCGATGTTGCCGACACTCCTCACTGGGATAACTGCGGGGAAGGAACCCCCTAATTGAAAGCCTAGGCACTTCGAAAGAAACCACGGACAGAGAGTATTAGTCGGACTGGAACAATGCTGTTCCGCGTACCACTATTCCCGTTCAAAGTAAATTCAGCTTTCCGAGTCAGCATCCTCCAGCTTTTTGAGTCCATCAAACAGTTACTGAAATTGAAGGTAGATGTAACAAATCTGGCAACATTCGGACGACAGTATTTTCAAACGCACAATTATAACTCGCAGTATGTAGCAAAGCTGCATCAATGGATTTGACCAAGTATAACCCGGCACTCTTTGTGAAGAAGACACAAAGGTTACACATTACAAGTGCGAAAATTACAGAAGGTCTGATTCCTTGCGCAAAAGATCGCCAGAGCGGTCTGTGCTTCGAACTGCCCAATGATCTTCTCTCGGCCAGCACAAAACATGGCGCCTGTTTCAACGTGTACCATCTGAGCTCGTTTTTCGCTCCGCTGAAACTCCGGGCTATTGGCTGGCGATTGCAGAACTTGCCAATACACACTTTGCCGTTTTGGGTACTATGAACTTGACAATGTTTTAATTCAATAGGGAAACAGATCTACAGCTTGGCCATGGAGTGAAGAGACTTGGGTTGACCCATCTCCGTAGCACTCGTACCCCCTCCGCTAGTTGTGTTCAAATCCAAAAGAACTTCTGGTCAATTATTGTAGGAGGTCACGGAGCTGCTGTGAGCCTTTTGGAAGTTTGAGAATATCTTGCGCTGTCTGCTGTTCCAGCACAAAGAGGCCATGTCGCCTCATATCCTCATAAAGAAGGTGTTGAAAGAATGGATTTGCCGCAGTGCTGATCTCCCGAAGGAGTTTTCCCTGCGATTCCTCGAGTATGTCCACGAACTTTTCAAATATCTCATCCGCCGGAGCGAGAATACTTGGATGGTCAGAACCAACTCTGCCACATCTCCAGTATTTGAAGTGGACTTACATTTTCTCGCTAATCACAGGGCTGACTGCGTCACCTAGCCGATCGAAGTGGACTAGGCTAAGAACAGCATCCCCAAACCTTTGGGCTAAAATGTGTAGACGTTGTCCGAATTTTCGAAACTCCAAAACAGTTCGACGTTTCCTTTTGTAAATAGCGGAGCCGCTTTCCAGCTCTGGGAATATTTTTTTTGTCATTTTGTCGACTGCCTCAGCCACTGCGATCTTCCTCGGGTTGCCTCTTGGCCTTGGGTGGCTAACAAGCGCATCATGTGACGCTGCTATAATAGTGAAGTTTGAGTTGTTTCCAGCCGTCTCCCCACTTTGTCGATATATATTCAAGATGTGGTTGTATCGCAAAATTTGGAGGTAGGCCGCATTCTCCTGGATTTCACCAATGACTTCAAAGCGCTCTTGAATGGTGAGATCACGTGATAGCCATTTTCTGGTCTGGGCGCTGTGCAGATGGTCTCTCGTCTCTCTTGATGATTTGAGAGCTGCCCGAAGGGTAACAAATGACCGTGCACTGCCTATCTGAAGCAGAAATATACAGAGACCTGGAAACAGTTCCGGCCCGAAATCCAACAGCTTGGTCTCGATAATGGGCCTAAAATAAGTGTCTTGCGGGGACAACAGGCCAAAAGCCCTAGCCATTTCAGCTTCTTGGAACAGTGTTGATATGAATTCGCGATCAAAACACCCTTTTTTGCTTCGTTGTAAATCCATGCCGCCAACATATTTTCGCTTGCTTGTCGAGCCCTGGCTTGAGGACTGTTGGCTCGACACCCAGTCCGAGAAACCATCCGATTGGTACAATACTTCATTGGGCGTGAGAAGCACGTCTAGTCCGGGAGTAAGCATGCGTCGGCTGTTATGTTGGGGTGATAGCTCAATATCATGCAGAGTCCCGGTCCGAATTACTCCGTGGGCCGAAAGCGAAGCAATGCTCTGCATCTGTCTCCTCCCAATGGGCTGACCCAAATCTCCAGTCCGAGGGGACTCCGAGATTCGGTCCATGGTGTGGAGTCCGTTTCTTTTGAGTTCCCCATTTTCGTTGTAGCAGGTCTCAAAGATGGACAGGTCCCCTATTTCTGAGGGAGTCGAAAACTCTAGGAATGGGGTCGTGTCTCGAATCAATGAATCGATGTCTTCGGTCTGAGGGCTCCTTTCATCCGCGGAAAGTCGAGACGGGGTGTTGCTAGTTTCATTTTCAAATAATTCCATCAAATTCAGTTCGTCAAGGCGCTCATCCAGAATTCTATTTGTCGTTGTAGGTGCATTCAGAATGTTATTTAGAATAGGTATACAGACTTACCGAAGCGCATACAATGCCTTGACCACGGATTCCAAGCTTTTTGTTTGAATATATACAGCTCCGATAATGGCACTTGTCGCCAGGGCTAAGACACCGGAAGAATTCCCACCTGGCCGAGAATCCATCCTCAGGTACCGGTCGATGCCAGTACGCTTCGCTACATCTGCGCGGTGATTGGTTCCATTGACGCGGAATTTAAGCTTTGATGTGAAATCTTGAAAATGTTAGAGTTCAAGGTCGCGAAGTGAGTGAGCTGATTCTACCTCGTGACAATGTCATCGTAGCACCGCTGAAATCGATCAAAAATCCGGTGACTCCGGATCCTAGCTGGGCTAGTTTTCTGTTCCCATCCGGTAGCGTCTCGTCTGCTCCAGCTGCAGTCAGGGCAATTTGTATGTCTGATTCAGATAACACATGACATCCAACTAGGCTTCGGATGAAATCCACGGAGGCTTCCCTCATGCTTGAGATAGGAAGGCGGCAATGGTAATGAAAAGGCGGTGCTATTGATACCGACAAGGATTTGGATAAATACAGCTCTTAAATAGTCACAAATAATTTCATAATATGTCTCATTCCAGTACTAGGTGGGCAGATTTTCCGCCTGAGCGAGATCGCGTATTTGTCTGGTTGACTTGGTGTTCTCCTACACACAAGTACGTGCATCGAACCACGTCGCGTGATTTGATTGGGGGGCTCATGCAGTTTGCATTGAAATTTGACGTGTCATATGCATACCTGCGGTCATCCTGTAAAACACAGAATGCAGGAAGAATATATCCTATCTGGATGCTTTGCTGTTAATTGACATGATTCCCATAATCTTCCCAGTCAATTAACGAAAACCATTCTCACTCATACGTCTCCAACATGGAAAACTTTCGACCCCGTAACTATCAGATCGAAATGTTTGAGATGAGCATGAGAGAAAATATCATAGCCGTGGTAGGTCATTTGTTTTCAAATTCCGAGGAGATATTAATTGGTCCCACATTGACGTTTCTTTTCCAGCTGCCGACAGGGAGTGGAAAGACATATATGTATGATTCACTCCACTTCCAAAAAGCTCAATTATGATGACAATGCTTAGAGCTAGCATGCGGATTATGTCAGAACTGGAACGATGCCAAAGTCACCAGGTAAGTGGATATCTTCATCATATATCCTGACTGCTGTTCAAAAGAACCGCCATTTAGGTTGTCTGGTTTCTAGTTCCAACCAAAGTGTTGTGTAGTCAGCAGCTCACGTATCTCTCGCACCATATGCCTGCAGTGAGTATGAGAATGCTGACTGGTGATGACGGAGTCGACTGCTGGAGTAAGCAGAGCATTTGGGACGCCGCGCTTCAGGGAATGAAAGTTATCTTCTCCACCCATGCTGTGCTCGCAGATGCCCTTACTCATGGCTTTATCAAACTGCCACGTCTGGCTTTGTTGATTTTCGATGAGGGTGAGAGTTGCTGATCCAATCAGCACCCGATGAAACTGACATTGAATTAGCTCACCATTGCGTAAAATCGCATCCAGGAAATCGTATCATGCGCGACTTTTATCACAGAGCCAAAAGTGAAAACGGTGCTGGGAGCATCCCAAGCATACTCGGCTTGACAGCCTCGGTCCATCCAACAAAAATTGGGTGAGGCAAACCGGTCGCACCAGGAAGAAAAAAAAAGAAAAAAAAAAGAAGCAGGCTAACGAGGTTTAAGTGAGCTTGAGAAGAACTTGGATGCGACTTGTCGTGCCCCCCTCGCTCAGCGCCAAGAGCTGTCAGAGCACACTTCTCAGCAAAAGCTCACCAGAATTGTGTATTCTCAGTTTCAAGACTCAGCAAATTTACCGCCTTTTCTCAAGAAGTTGGATGAATTTGTCGAGGAGCTGCGCGAAGATAGTGAATACAGAGGGTATGTTATGGCAGATGAGCATTTCAAGCTTCTTACAAAGGCCCGTATGATATGGTATCAACTAGGCACATGGGCTTCTAGATTTTTCCTCGTCAAGATGCTGCATCACATTACTGTAAACGCTGCCGACCATGAAAACCAACCCTCGCGTCGGTGTCTCGGTCACCGATACTCAAACCTTTTGACAGCACTGAGAACCATGACCGAGGTTAGTGTCCAATTAGAGGCTCCCGGCAACACCTCCAACAAGGTCGAACGACTATTGTTCTTTTTGAAAGAAAGGGCATGTGCAGACTTCTCGGGAATCATTTTTGCCCGAGAACGAGTGACTGCGCACGTTCTATCAGCGTTGCTCAATGTGCACCCAGTCACCCGGGGTATGTTTCAATGCGTGCCTTGTGTGGGCAGCTCTGCTCGTTCTGAGCCCTGGGCAATATACGACTCGGTGATCCCAAAGAAGGGCGAAGATGTCGTCGAACAGTTGCGCTGCGGCAGAAGCAATTTGATCGTCGCCACCAATGTGCTCGAAGAGGGCATTGATCTTCCAGCATGTCACCTTGTCATTTCATTCGAAATTCCAGACACCATAACGTCCTACATCCAGAGGCGGGGGCGAGCTCGACAGAGCACTTCTGAGTTTGCCATAATGGAAGAAAAGGACGATGCACCTCTGGCGTCACGTGAATGGAATAGGCTCGAAAATGCAGTGCAGGGTATATTTTTGGACCATGCTCGATCTAACCAAAAATGGGAGGTGGCCGATGGAGGACCTGAAGATCAGATTCTTCGATATCTTTTAGACACAGGGTTTGTCCTCCTGCCACAGTGCCACGAATATGCTAACTTCAAATGACTCGTTCCTAGAGCGCTGTTGACGACAGAGAATGCCATATCTCATCTATACCATTTCTGTGCAACTTTGCGGGGTGAAACATATGACGGGACCACTCCTTCTTTCTCATATCAGAGAAACCAACAAGGCCATTTTCTCTCTACTGTCTATCTACCGAGTGGTGTCGATCCTTCGGTGCGGATAGCGACAGGGCACCATTGGTGGGCCACAAAGAAGTCAGCACGACGGGACGCAGCTTTCCAGGCTGTTCGTGTGTTACACGACCAAGAGCTTCTCAATGATCATTTTCTTCCATTGTTTTTTGATGACTCAGGGCCCGGACTAAACGAGCTCAAAGTTTTGGCCGCCGAACTTCCCCTTGTAGAGAACTTTACCAGCTTTTGGAACAACACTCAGGGTCAATGGACTGAAAGGAAAATGTACAGATGTTGCATTGAGGTTCTTGAGAATGGGGAAGCTCGACCAGCTCTCGCAATGGTGTTGTTTACTTCAGTGAAGCTACCCATGCCAGCGAACGTGGATTTATACTGGGATGATCAAACAACATTCACAGCGAGTTTGCAACAGCTCAATCAGGAAGTAGTGCTGTCGCTGTCTCTGTGTCGTGTCATACGGAGAATCACGGCCGTTCTGTTACATTCGACCCGCGAAAGATCAACACAAGGGGATTACACAGACTTTCTCCCCTTCTTTACACCGGATCTTCCCTTAGAAGAACTAGAGGACTGGCTAAAGATCTATGATGGAAGTTTGATGGCTGAAAGTAGGCAAAACCGGATTCATCTGCTGTCCCCCGAGGGTTTTGTTAGAAGCCCTGCGCTTCATTTTATCCCCCACATCTTCAGGAGATGGATTCGGGACCCGGATTCAAAGGGACTCTGGATCGAATGTCGACGATTTGAGAGAAGACGAAACCTCATACAGCGAGCGATATTGACCCAGCATAAGTCCTTGGAAAACCCCTCACGAGCCGTCTGCATAGTTGCCGCAGAATGCACCATCGACCTCTTGCCCTGGGAGCTGAGCCGAACCAGCCTCCTGATTCCGCCGATGATACAGCTCCTGCACCGACAATTGATGGCACAGGCTTTGCGTCTTGAGCTTTTCGAAGACGCCCCTGAGATCAGCTTGGATACTCTGGCAGAGGCAATCACAACGCCGTCTTCTCGATGGACAGTAAATTACCAGCGACTGGAATTTCTGGGTGACTCGCTTCTCAAGTTCATTGTCTCCACGCATCTCTTCTACAAACATCCTCAATGGCACGAGGGCTACCTATCGAAGCAGAAGGATCTGCTGGTCTCAAATGAGAGACTGACGCACGCGGCCATAACTGCTCACTTGGAACAATTCATCTGCAAAGATTTCATCACGCGGAAACATCGAGCTTTTTGGCCGAAACAAGGAGACACTGCGAGGGAAATGATTCCAAAAAAGGTTTATGCTGATGTAGTAGAGGCTCTCGTAGCAGCCGCCTATGAGCATGGTGGAGTTCCACTGTCCCGGAAGCTTGTTGGCATTTTTCTACCGGAGCTTTCTGACTTCGCAGCAACGCCGAAACAATCGCCAAAGCAAAATGGACAATTTCCGGTTCATTTGGACATGAAGCTTGACGCATTTCTTGGGTACAAGTTTACGAATCGGTCTCTACTCTGGGAGGCACTTACACATCCGTCATGGCAAAGAGACCAATCAACTTCTTCTTATCAGCGGCTTGAATTTCTGGGAGATGCAGTTTTGGACGTGCTCGTTGCAAAGATGCTGCATTCTCTGTCTCCTAAGCTTGCAGAGGGCCGAATGACAGAGCTTCGAGCCGCTTTGGTGAATGCCGACTTTTTGGCATTCCTTTGTATGGAGTCAGCCATGGCTGAGCCCAGTTGCCCCATAGTCACGGCGGACAGTTCCGAAACCTTCGCACGAGCGAAAAATATCGCATTATGGATGTTTATGCGACATGACTCTCCTGATATAGCCAAACTCTGGACTGAATGTGCCAAGCGGCATTGCATGCTTGGTGAAGTAGTCAAAAAGAAGCTAGAAGGCGATGATTCATACCCTTGGGGCACGCTTGCTCAACTGGGAGCCCCAAAGTTCTACTCGGATCTTGTTGAGAGCACCATTGGAGCGATTTTCATCGAAAGCAAAGGATGCCTGGAGACATGCGGACAATTCTTGAAGCGTATCCATTTGGTTGATTACCTTCAGCGGCTTGTGAGACAGAATGTACGACTAGAGCACCCCAAAAGCGCTTTAAATCGTATTACTGGTACCGACGAAGTCAAATTTGAGATTGAGGATACAGCAGATGGACTGCACAAGATCTCTGTTTGGTTGAAAAGCGAGAAGATCGCGTCTATTGATAGCTGTTTCTCTCGGGCCGAAGCATTTGTGCGAGGTGCCGATGAGGCAGTGGTGTTGTTGCTATCACGAACTCGAGATCAGTGACCAGGAACAGGGGCAAATTGATAAAATCATTCAGTGTTATTGCCTGGTAAGCCCCTTGAACTACCAGCAGACCAGAAACATGAGCCGCGTTTCTGTGGAATATCATCGAGAGTACTGTATAATTGCGAGACTTTTTTTGTACGGTCTTGAAACGCAGCGGCAGTGGGCAGGAAAAGCGGGGTAAGTGTTTTGATTGGTGTGTATAAATAAAGCTACAGTTGTATGTGCTGAATTCAGGGGACGGCCACGGGAATTATTTGGACA